TCAGGCGCTACCTGCACACAGACTGTAGACATAATGTAGATCTGGTGAAAACACTTTGACTGTCTCTTGAACAACCGTTCAGAGATCGACTGGCCTACACTGAATGGTCTCAAGCAGCACGAAATGAAGACAAGTCTGGCAGACACGCGGACACTGGATGGGACGCAGAGAGCACTTGCTCAGCTATGCAACAGAAAGTATGCTGGGGTCGACGGGATCCCGCCTGAAGTATTGAAACACGGTGGACCCGCGTTGTTGACTGCGCTGCACCACTCGGTGCAACGTGTATGGATTGAGGAGGAGGTGCATTCTGAGCTGAAACATGCGTTTGTGCTACCACTGTACAAGGGAAAAGGAATCAAGCAATGTTGCACGAATTATCGTGGCATCAACTTGCTGAGTTGTGTGGGCAAGCTGATTGCCCGAATCCTACTCAACCGCCTCGTCAGTCAGATTGTGGAACCGAACATGGCGGAAGAGCACTGCGGAATCCATTTGGGTCGCAGTACTGTTGGTATGGTGTTCGCGGTTCGTCAGTTGCAAGAGAAGTGCAGAGAACGACACCAGCCATTGTACTCGCTTTTTTTGATTTCACCAAAGCATTTGATACGTGAATCGCGAAGCACTTTGACTTGTGTTGGGGAAGTATGGTTGCTCGAGTAAGTTTATAAATTTATTTGAATGTCTGCAGAGTGTATGCCAGCGAGGATGCAGCTGAGTGGAGAGACCTCGGATGACTTTGCGGTTGTCTCTGATGTGAAGCAAGGCTGTGTCTTAGCTCCTGCCCTGTAGTTGTGGACTCCCCAACTACGCGGCAACCATCCCTGTAAGTTGCAGCATAACAAACTTACAGCCTTTTTGCTCCGCTCGTCAACTGAGCAGCTCTAGGGACGCTTATCAGCGCTCCACCTGCATCGTCGCTTAAGGCAGGCCGATTAACACACACTGCCGCTTTGTGTGGATGTGTGTTCAACTGCGAGTCGATTGATAGCGGAATCCGACAGTCTGCGCGTTACGACCTCCATCTGCCTCCTCGCCTGACCTTGGTTCGGTTGAACAACTATCTATTCATTTTTTGGATGTTCGTGTGTAGTGTAAAGTTTGTAGAAAGTAGAAGTCACGATTAAAATTCACGCACAATAATGTGCCTCGACGGGGAATCGAATCCCGGTCCACGAATTTCCGGTCCGCTGCTCGACCACTAAGCTACCGAGGGCTAACGATTAGGTGCGCAAATTTTAATACATGACTTCTGCTTGGTGCGCGACGTATTGCCAAGGAGGTCACAGTACCTGTCCTGATGTTGTACATTAGGCTCACCCAACCCGTCACTTCCCCAATATTCTTCTCTTGACCGAAATACCTGTCCTTCAGGTCATGTACTGAGTATTGTAAAGTTTGTAGAAAGCAGAAATCATGTATTACAATATGCGCACCTAATCGTCAGCCCTCGATAGCTCAGTGGTAGAGCAGCGGACCGGAAATTCGTGGACCGGGGTTCGATTCCCCGTCGAGGCACATCACTGTGCGTGGATTTCATTCGTGACTTATACTTTCTACAAAATTTCGATTCGTGAGCGCACTGGTTATTTG